TTTTCTCCTCCTTCTCCTTCATTTGTTTATGTCGGGTCATCCTATATAGAACCCTTTCTACTGCGCTTTAATCCCATTGTTTAGCTAACTCCTGTTAAAAAAAGCCCTCCCCTCCCCTAAAAAAAACACGTCTGTTGATATCCCAATTACACACAAATACACAAACTCGCGCACACGCGCACACCCACACACACTTTACACAAGCGTACACTATCCCTATTTTAGAGACAAACCAATAAACTATATAAGTTGCTCCAAATGAACGTCAAATAGCACATGACTATTCGTCATATACAACTGATGCAGACTCGTGACTGCTCATCAACGTGTCTTCTTCAAATCTTTCTTCACCAAATCCAAATGTTGAACTGTCAGACAGAGGTGCCGCTTTGTCTCATGACCGTGAAAGTTTGCCTAGTATGTCATACCTTTATACTAGTTGAGCGGAAAGGTCATATATCCGTTGATGACGTCAAACTCATCAAAGCAAAGCCATGAATACTGACCACAAGTTAACGTTCTATCAATCTGTTGTTTAAATGAATGCAATTTAAATTTGCAGACATCAACTGAATAATCATATTTAAATCAAAGTTTTGTTTTCATAAAAGTTATCTTTCTTTCAGTAAACGAAAATCAAAGATGTTACGTTGATAATAGTTGTCCAAGAGGAAGTTTTCCGGGTAGGGGTAATTGTCCGGCGATAGATTTTCGGCGCCAGTTGTCACATAATTAATGATCATAGGTTAACCTGTGTCGTTTTAATTTCTTTAATGCCGCAATGTTGTTAGTTAAAGATATTTATTTTGATATGTGTTAAAGGTAAAACGTAGTTGAAAATAGTAAATATTTCACTAGTCAATATAAGATTTAATTTAAAGATAAGGGCTATTATAGTGTATTTATAGTGACAGTAATAATTTTGCTCATAATTGTCACCAGAAGGCAACAAATATTTTCGGAATGTATACCAAAAATATCAAGGGAATTGGGCGTAACATTTTACAGAACAACAATGGACACGACTGCAGCTTTTGCCCATATAAGAGTAGATCGAGTCCAATGTTTATTAGATGCACCTGATATTTTACCCGCCGAAAGGGATTGGAAAAACCGCTTGATTTGACAGAAATCGTTGTTTTTTCCCCCTTTTGGGGGTGGTTTTGTTTTGTTCTTACTCGAAGTGTAATTATTTCGAAACAAACTCCAGTGAGACCTCGGTTTCACAGGGTTCTCCCAGGTCCCTAATGTCACCAGACGATTAGCTAGGTAGCTAGAATGTCACCGTTCATGTTACTGATCGTGAAGAAGTAGTACAAAAGGTCTCATTGTATTATATACAGTTGACAAATATTGCAAAAATATATAGACCTACGTATAGTTGTATACATGTAGGTTTACGACAACGTATTGTAGCGGTGGTATAAACGCCAATTGCTTGGCAAAAAATGGAAGAAAGAGATGGAAGAAAGAGAGAAAGAGGGGAAATGACAGGACGGGAGATGGAACTGTGAGTCTTTCGTGGTTCCTCTTCTGCTAAATAAATGTAAAACCGAAAGGTGACAATTTTAATAAAATATATTCATGATAACTATTTCACTCAACTCATTTTTTTACAAAACATTAAGATCAGAAAATATTTAATAGTAGTATCACTAGCGTGTCCGAGGGAGGGGAGGGGCTTAAGGGGCTGAAGCCCCCTCACGCGGAGACCCCCCCCCCCCCCCCATAAAAAAAAAGAAACATGGATGCTCCATAAAGTCCAACAATTTAAAGGCAGGAACCGTAGATAATTCGTAGATCGGCAGTCTTGATTGGACTTGAAACAGAACATCCAATATACCTGAGATCAACATGATAGATAGGTACCCTGTCAGAATATATATAAAGAAAGAAAGGAAGAGGAAATAATGAGATCAAGTGCGAGAGAGGCGGATAAAGAGATAGAGGAGAGGAAATGAAGGAGGCAGAGCTAGTTATATGCCCCCGTTTGATTTCTTTAGCCAATCATTAGGTTCACCATGAACATGATTAGCTTTTATAATCTAGTTCACAACATTTACCAGATTACCAGAAAGTGCATTTGCAAGGAATACGTTTGTTTTGTACCCTTGTATGAAAACACAGCCATGTTCATACACTATTTTTGAACTCCATTACAAGCCTAACTTCAACCTTCAAACACTGATGACTGCGACCGTGACCGCGAACTGGAAATTACAAAAATAAAGTTTCACCTTATTATAGCAGGATGCTAAATTAGATAATCCAAACTTATCACGGTAGCGTATTTAGGTTGAAAGTTGCCTGGTGAGTTTGTTGAACAACAAAACACTGAACATGAGTCACCATCAGGGGCGTACGCAGGGGGGGGGGGGGGTTGGGGGTTCAAATCTCCCCTTTGATATTTTTATGTGTGTAACCCCCCTAAAAAAACTAAAAACCCCCCCCCCTTTGTTTTTGTTTTTTTGTTTTTTTTGTTTTTTTTTTAATTAAAAAAAAAAATTATGCCCAAGGCTAACGTAAAGCGACCTAACCCCCCCCCCCCCCCACTGAGCGACTTTTCGGCCGTGCGATTTTCAAATTTTCGGGAGCAAAATATTTTGGCCCAGATTTTAAACCCCCCCCCCCCCCCCCCCCTTGAAAAATCCTGCGTACGCCCCTGGTCACCATAATAGCGAAATTGTATTTGACAATGCATTTTTATGTAAGTCATTATTTTAATTTCCCTGATTTAGAAGGCGATGTATCATCATAAATGAAAAGTGGTGTTTGTGTGTGTTTGACTGTGAGGGGGGGGGGGGGGGGTTGTGAGCCCCAAGCCCCCTCTAAATCGCTTTTGTCTCTGTACATCTTTCTCTGTGATTCTTTTTATTTCTTCTCACGTTTGTATTTCCCGTCATTAAACGTGCTCTATTTATATGACCTACCGGTGGCCCTATAACGTCCTGAAGTTCATGACTGCATCAATAACCTCGCATGAGTCATAGGGGTGCCCTCTCTTTCTTTCTCCCTCTCTCTCTCTCTCTCTCTCTCTCTCTCTCACACTTTCTCACTCTTTGTCCTCTCTCTCTCTTTATCTCCCACCCCTCTTTCTCTCTCTCTTTCGCTTTCTCAGACGCATTTCTGTAGCATTACGAGATAGTGGTTGTCATTGTGTCAGCTATTTCATCGTGTTCAGCCACGAACCCCTCTTTGTTCTTTAGACCAGCATGGAACCCGATTTCCTAGGAACTTGAGAAACGGGGCAGCGTTTCACGAAACCGCCATAAGTACAAGTTCGCTGACAACCCATTGAATCGCGTGTATTGAATATAAGTGTTTCAATGGGATGTCGGTGAACTTGTACTTATGGCGGTTTCGTGAAAAGACGCCCAGGAATCCTAAATAGGAAAAAGGGAGAGGTTCATGCCTTTGATGTCAGAGATGACAAAGCGAAATGATATATTTCACATCAATTCAATCAATTCATTCAATTACTGATTTATTGTAAAAGAAAATAACATGGCAAAAGTCGGGAGCCTCATATTGTCATATTTAAATTAAAGTACAAGAAAACATGAAATAAGGTTATAAATGTACATTGATATTGACATATAGTAGTTCAATGATAAGTAAAAAGAAGAACGTGACTTCATGCATTTAAAAGTATTACGTTAAACAGCAACTATTATCAATTCAAGTCAATTCAATTTTTTTCCCCACAAAACATTACAAATCAATTATAATCAGTTACAAAAAAAATACGTATTGGAAACATTATATTGAATTAAACTGGATGGATTTGTACACGATTGATGGTACAGTAGATGCCAGTAGTAATTTTGTTTTAATGACAATGAAACAAGTCCATTTGTAGCAATTTAAACATTGGCAATTCAGAATCTATTGAAATTAAAAAATTGGCAATTAAAAGTCAATATTGGCGGTTTTAGAACACTGTTCAAATATCTGACCAGTAAAAAAGCGAGAGAAAAAAAACCATCAAATTTTGGCAAAACTATCGTTTTTGAAAAGGGAAGGGGGCAAACATGTTCCTGGATGAAGTTTTTTTTAATAATAATTGTCCGAGTTTGAAAAAAAGGAAAATAATGATTTTAAAAAAAGAAGAACCAGAGTCCCAGACATCATACTTTTTTTTTTAATATCATACTTTTTGTATGAAGGATCTTTAGTTTTTTGTGATCAAACCTAACATATTTTAAAATCGAGGTTTGCCATTCTATACGTTGTAATAATCGTAGTTCAGGCATTCGGTATAGGAGGCAAAGATCATGTTGTAATATTCCTGAACAATGTTCGCGGAATCACAATAGCCTATTTGAGATGAACGCACTTTATGCTACAGTCACAAAAGTTCATACGAACGATAATTTCATACGAATCTCCCTGTTTTTCCATTGTCTTCCCGAATTTCCATTGTCTGAAAATCGTTCGTACGACGTTCGTAGCAGTTCGTAATGGCATTTGTGACCGAGGCTTTAGATGAATATATAGGCCTACTCTGCATATTTCCGTGTATATAACCCTCATTACATGGAGGCAGTATCGATGTGATAAATAACCCAAATAGGAATAAACAAAAAGGACTAGTATCCTAAAAAGCGTAAGTAAAAAATCACCTTTGATCACTAAAGCTGATGAAACTTTCATGTTTTTGGTGATATATAGGCCTTAACTTCAAGTCTTTAGCACGCAAGTCAACGCAATCTGTTTATCAGAAGCAAACAGTAGCGAACGTTTCAACAAATCAATAGGCCTATGGGGTATGGAGTAAATGTCCAAGTCAAAGACACTATAAAGTATTAAACCAATTGATCGATGAAATCCTTTTTTTAATAGTTTAGAAACAAATTTATAGGAGGACTGAATCCTATAAAAGAGTATGAAAACTCAAGATTTCAGTTTTGTCCATTATAATGTTTCAGATTCCTATGACCTTCCATTCCATTCAATTCCAACTTTGCTATACTAAATTATTTCACACATTTCTTTACCTCCAGAGCTACATGAGCAAGTACCAGGGCCTGCCGATGTCCAACGATCCAAACACGCGAATGGCCCTAGTCAGCCATACCGACCTGGCTTCTACCATCCGCAACATGCAGAGGTACATGGACGTACCCCTGACAGGACACATTGATGGAGCTACCAAGGCCAAGCTGACCCAGCCAAGGTGTGGGGTACCAGACCCATCGGGCCAGGATACAGCGGGCCACGCCCTTGGTGGTAGGATGAGACGGTTTGCCCACACGGGAGGAAAGTGGGAAACTCATAGTCTAACATTTCGGTGAGTAGTGACATCTTTGACTTGTTTGATGCTTACATGGTGGAGAGAGCATAAACCATAATGTGCAGGCCTGCAGGGGTGTCGCTAGACCACTTTTCTATTTGGGGATCGTCAGACCAAATTTGCTAATGAAATTTTCGATACGGGAAAAAAAGTGGGCCATTAAATTTTACCAAGTTATGATTATGAAGGAGATACAATCACAGGCTTTTATCTGTTTGTTTGGTGGCTAGTTGGTGGAAGGTGCAGGAGAACATTTTTATAAGTGGGGGTGTTCAAAGTGAGTTAAGTGCCCGATGTCGAAGTGTCCGCTCATCGAAAATCAAGGCCTCGATGGTACTTGAACCTGGGGTTATTCTCAACATTCATTACCAGTGACCTCACTCTTAGGCCCTTTATGATTTGTTGTTATAAGCAGTTCATTTTAGCCTGAGCCTTTGTGGGATATATAGTTTACTTTAAAATATGGTTTTAGCACTCATTCATTTTCATTCATTCCTCTACCCCCAGAATCCTCAACAGTGCGAACAGGCTTAGGGGCCCGAGAGCGACGATGCGATCCGAAGGGCCTTCAAGGTCTGGGAGGAGGTCACCCCGCTAAAGTTCACCGAGGTCCAGGGCAATGGCCGTGCAGACATCTATCTCACCTTCGGTTCTGGCGACCATGGCGATCAGTTTCCATTCGATGGACCGGGCTTTACACTCGCCCATGCCTTCCCTCCCCAGAGTGGTTGGGGAGAGATGGATGGTGATGTGCACTTCGACGATGCCGAGACCTATACAGTATCATCATACGACGGTAAAAATATGATCTTTTACTGTGCAATCGAATTGACATTTTTAAGGTTATACAGGATAGTTTTTACCCCCCCCCCCCCCCCCCACAAAAAAAAGGTTTAAAACTATGAAGCAGTCGAAGAACATACATTTGCGCACAATTGAACCAAAAAGTGAGAACAATATCTTCTAAAAAAAGACCTTTTCATTGAGAAACCACTTTGCTGCATGTTTGTTCTCCAAGACACATTTTAGGTTTTGAGGGCCTAATCATGTCTTTCAAAACTGGATGATCTCATGAAATGGAATGAATAGGCCTGCGCTGTCGTTTACCACAGCTAAGAGGAAATCGATTTGTTGTTATACTATTAACAATTTACTTTGCCAATATACCATTAAAGTTCAGCTGATTCGGCTAAAACAGTTCATAATGCCATGTTAACTTGCTCTCTCTCTCTCTCTCTCTCTCTCTCTCTCTCCCTGTGCTAGGTACAAACCTGTTCCAGGTAGCTGCCCATGAATCGGTCACAGCCTTGGTCTAGGTCACTCAACCGACTCACGGGCCCTCATGGCTCCATTCTACGCAGGTTACATCCCGGACTTCCAACTTCCCTACGATGACCAGCAAGGGATCCAGAGACTTTATGGTGAGCCTCGATCCGAACAGTAGTGCCTTCAACCATGATCATCCGGTAGCTCGATGTATATGTCGTGTACCTTAATTTGCGGCAAACTTAATTTAGATTTTCTCATCTCTATTTTACAAAATAATAATAATAATAAATATAATAATAATGGGTTCTTGTATAGCGCTCATGTCAGTAGATTTAACCCTCCTGGCGCTCCCGATTATTACCCTGGCTTTAGCACGGCTGCAGTACGGGGCTCTAGCAATTCAAGGAATTAATTCCTACCAGGTACCCATTTACTTCACATGGGTGGAGTGTGGCAAATGTAGATCAAGTCTTGCCAAAGGACATTGGTGCGGCGGCGGGACTTGAACTGCGGACCTTGTGATCGACAGTCCGGGGACGCATCCACTCGACCACAGCACCTCTACATGTTCTCATCACCTCATGCATTTGGTATTTCTCTCGTCTAAATCATCGAATCGTGTTCCCTTCTCAATCAAAATGTTTTGTTCTATTAATGGAGGTTTCTTGTTACCTTCCTCTTACATTTGCTAATCATTAAAATATATCATAACAGGCAGTAAAAGGCCCTCTGTTGGAACGACGACGAAAAAGCCACCACAGCCTGGACCAAATCCTAAACCTGAACCAGGACCCAATCCTGGACCTACTACCCATGCCCCTGATACAAGATGCAAGAAGACTTACGATGCAATCACACTCATCAGAGGAGAACTGTTTGCGTTTCAGGTAAGTATGTCATGGAATGACCGTGCAGACAAATGTCGAATTAAGTCTATGCCTGTTGCTTAGTTAAGACCAGAATATCCATGTGAACCTTACATTCAGTTAATTTGAAAACAAAACAGTTAGATTTACTGCAATTCTAAGAAAGATGTACCATTGATGGCAGTCAATGTCATTATATCTCATATTCAAGGCAAAGGTACAAGAACTTGGTCTGACAGGAAGCTTAAGAAATTATCGGTTTTCAATGCTTCATTGAATTTTGAAAACTAATCACTGTTTACTTTCAAATTTCAGAGATGACCTACATAATATAAATGTGATTCAGGCAAAGGTTTAGTAGATTTAGTGGAGTCTGCATGCAAAAGGGACACATGGTCGTTAAGACACACCTTAACTGTCCTTCCATTAAGAATATACAAATGGGGGAGGAGGGGGCATAATTTCCTACCATTGTCAAGATCACCAAAGCTCCATTCTTCACACCTCCTACTCTCTTTCTCTTTCCGTTACAGAGTGATATCTACTGGAGGCTACGCTTCCCAATGGAGCTGATATCCCGCGACAACGGAGAGCTTACCTCACACTTTTGGCAATCGTTCCCAAATAAGATAGATGCCGCCTACGAGAGATATTTTGATCACATGATCTTCTTTTTCAAAGGTCAGTCTCTTCGTGAGTTGGTCCTATGGCGGCGCCATCCATGGCCGATCATAGCGTATTAAGGGAGATAGTTGTGACACATGCATGAATACCCGCTCAAAAATTGATTTCATGGATCTCCATACAGTTCCCTCCACATAAATCCTTGATAGGGAACGCTCATGATTCGACGGCCGAACAAGCGTCACTTCCGCTGACGTAACTGTCTAACTCTTCTAGCTATGGGTCAATCACGGGGCTCGGAGAGAATCCTATTGTCTTGATGTTTTGAGCTTCCCGATCGCCATAATTGGCGATTATGTAAGACCGGAAATATTCTATGATTTAATTGATTTGTGTCGCAATGGTGTGCGGTTTTCGCGGTTGGATGTATACATGTATATCAGGAAGTCTGGTTAAGACATTTTAATAATCAGTTGTATTGGCATCATAATTATTTTCACAATTCTAAATTACTCAGAGATTTAACTTTACATTATATGAAGACTAAGAACATGAACAAATAAACAGAAATAAATTTGATCAGGTATATCAAAATAATCAATATAGCCCTAAGCACGTTTTGCAAAATTTTGGGAAGTTTCACATTATCAACAGCGCAAACATGGGGTGATAACAATGATGTTCGTTTTCAGCTCAGATCATCAAGGAAAATGTTAACGACCATTGAGATTGGGATTGTACATTTTATCAATACCCTTTTTTCATCACCCTCTCCAGGAAACGAATACTACAAATATAATGGACTAGAGCTGGTTGCCGGATTCCCGAAACCAATCAAAACTCTTGACCCCAGACTCCCAGCAAACTTGGATGCAGTTATCAGTTTCAGCGAGTTTTCGAAGACGTACTTTATCAAGGGTCGCAAGGTGTGGCGATTCGATGAACTGGAACAGCGAGTGGATGAAGGTTATCCGACAAACATCAAACGTGTATTTCCCGGTGTGCCGAGTCCGGTTTCTTCTGCTTTCGTGCACATTGGTTAGTATTTAGTGATGACGTAACAATGATATTGGCTAATATTGCTTTGCTCCGTCAAATCAGTCCCAAAGTATAAATGTATCTGATTTTAAGCTTATTCAAAGATTAAAATATAATCATTTCGTTTTCAGTTGTATGGTTTCAGAAAAATTATGAACAAAAAACGGGGCTGTATAAATTATAACTGGCTTGAAATTCCCAAACAAAAGTACAGCTTGTAGCATTTATGCAAGTATTACTTTTTGAAGACTTTTGAAGTTTCCTAAACTATAATTAATTTGTTTTTAAATCGTGAAGGTACCAGATAAGTGATTCACAGATAAAACTACATGTATATATTCATAACAAAAGTCCCTTATCAATAAGTCAAATAGTCTCATTGTGCTTTAAAATGTGCTCGTGTAATTCCAAGCCCCAAATATTTCTTTTTGAGATTATAAGATTTCATCCATTTGACCAAACGGAACATATTATGATTATGTTTTAGAGATTTACCGCTGGGATCAATATATGACTGAAATTAAATTCATCTTTTAAAATCCTGTATTCATCATATTTTCAGACGGTACTGCATATTTCCTGAAGGGGTACGAATACTACCGCTACAACGAAACTCTCAAGAGCTTCGAGGATGGTTATCCCCGGAGGTTCGGCGTGGATTTCTTGGGATGCGATCCAAACAAATTGGTCCAGCTTGGTCTAAACTCCACTGGCGGTACCGGGAATAGCAACATCAACAGGCCGACAAAACTTTTCATTCTGTTATTAACTATTTCAGCAGTTTTGAATTCTGTTTTACAGTAGGTTGGGAATCTTTAGTGGGTACTTTTCTTTACTTGTACGAGAACAAATCACCTCTCTGCTTTTGAAAATAATCAATGAATTAAAAATATGGCAAAACATTCAGCAGAGTGTACATGATTCTAAAATTCCACATAACTGTGTTATGGTGAACTAACGAATGGAAGAAAAACTTTCGACGCAAAGTAGGTCCGACATATCACTTCGTATGCTTTTGACAGAAATAAAGCCTTAGAGCCAGGTCTGTGAAAAGTAAGTCTGAGCATACTATACACTATTTGGTCCATCTGCGGGCTAAGCTTAAACAGCCATTTGATAAAATGCAAAGTTTGGTTTTAATGCGAAATGTAGTTTTCAACTGTCATTGCGGACATCATCATAGGAGTGACCGATTGATTATGATTAAAAAAAAGATCATTTCGATAATAAGGCAACATCATTTAGGCCTAGATCAAAATGATTGTGTAGAGTTTTAGATAATTTCTTTCCAAATCGACACGTCCGACTGGTATTGGTCTTTTGTCGAGCATTATATGACTAGGGCATTAAACAAATCAAGTAAAAATTATACTTTTGTTTGCATTTATTGTCAATGATATATTTATCAAAAGTTTAATCATTCATAAATAATCCACCTCTTGATATTAATATAATCCTACATAATATCATTGTATGTACATTATTCCTTTTTAGCAATTTTCGTAAAAGTTATGTACATACTATTGCGTCAAACCTTAAAAACGATAGAGATTAAGCTGCAAACTACGAGGGAAATGCATAGTTTTAGTGTTGAAGAGTGTGAATGTGCGATGATATCTTGTTTTAGTGATGGCGCTATAACTTGTGTGTCATCGTAGCTACTTGAGAATTTAGCTGTTTTCAATGAAAGTTATGTCTTGTGTAGACCGGATTATTTATGTATGTGTACATGACATTAAATCTTGATGTAGAATGTGTCTTGTTCATTTAGTGTAGACCTACAAATTACTTTGGAAACTGCTATTTTACTATTTTTTGAAATTAATTAATATTAGCATTCTTTCATTATGTTGACGAATATGCCAACCTCCATCATTGCCATATGCATTACTCGCGGGCGAGTCACAGAATATGTGCAATCACCATTTCATGCTGTGTCATATCAGCACTGACATTTATTTAATATTACTTTATATGCAAATATTATCTGGTTATAATTAAGAAACCAACATGCTTTTCGTATTATTACACACTCTGGTACAAGAATTGCATTTCATATTTTGTTAAAAGATGACATGTCAATTACAATGTCTGTTTTTTTGTTTGTTTTTGTAATTAATACTTGCAGGCAAGTGTTGTTTGACGATTGGAAATATTTTTAAACATCTTTTGTTTTATACACTAATTTGTCCCGTGTAATGTATGTATGTCATAGCACACTACACTTTTCATTGAAGACGATTATGACGAATCATTAGTTCCATAAATATGGCCTGAAAATATAAGAATTCAAATATCTTTAAATAAAATGCTGTATATTTTTAAATTTATTGCTTCTTTGTCAAAAGAAAAAAAAAGTGGTCGCAAATCTGTTTTATTGTATTATTCTTAGATTTTGATAAAACGTGTGTTCTTATTATTGACTTTCTGAAAATGTTTGCGATCACCATTTCTATGTTCCTGATGTTTCGTCGATCTACCCTAGTATCATGTAAATAATGCTATTTCAAATTCCTCAAACATCCGCATTTCAAAAAAGAAAATTCAAATTTAAACCTGTATTGTCTTGACCAAAATAAATTTTCCTCTTTCGAAATAATGTTATTATTATGCAAATAAATTCAATAAATTTGGAAGTGTTTTCAATTGATATGTTTATACCCTGTCTGTGTTTACCAACAGGGGCGTCGCTATAGAGACAAATTCTTGGGCGGGGGAGGGCGCAAGGTAGACCATGATTATCACCATTTTAGCCGAAGAATGTCCCATAAGCAAAGAGAAAAAGGGGGAAGTCCTAAAATTTCCAATATGTCGATAAGGGTAAAAGATTGGTCTTTAGATTTTCAAACTGGACTACATACAATTTTACAGGAGGAACCACCCCCTCTATTGACACCCCTGTTCACCACAAATGTTTAGATGATTAGAATCAGACAGACAGAATGGGAGAGAGGGGGAGGCAATGGGGGGAGGGGGAGAAGAGAGAGAGAGAGAGAGAGAGAGAGAGGAGGAAAGGGAGAGTGGAGAGGGGGGGGGGGGTGAAGACGGACTGATTTTTCGTTTTTAGATAACGCCCATTGAGAAATATTAAACTGCTATCATTATTTGAAAACTTTAGCAGATAATATACACATGAACAAACAATAAATTATTTCAAAGGAAATCAGATTTCTTTAAAGCTTTGGTATGTAGGTCTAGGAATGTTGATAAATCCAGATTAAGTGAAGCAATTTTATGCTCATTTACTGGTAAATTGTTACTGTTTTCCTATACTAGTGTACTTTGGATGTCTCTAACAATTTTTGCATCTAACATGATTTATTTAAAACACTTTTGTCAATTAATTACTAAATGCCCCCTTTCATCTCATTCCAAGCGCCACTCTCTCTCTCTCTCTCTCTCTCTCTCTCTCTCTCTCTCTCTCTCTCTCTCTCTCTCTCTCTCTCCTCTCTCTCTCTCTCTCTCTATTTATACTGTACATAATCATTCTCACTCATTAATTGATTCATCTGTCAGTACCATATAGTACAATCACAACCACAATTTAATGGTATATTGCAATAGGAATAGATCTATTGTTAATAGATCTATTCCTATTGCAATATACCGACCAAGTTGCCATAAGGCGCTTGTAAGCGGGGTGTATCTCGAGTAAATATTCCAAGCCTTCTTTTTTTTCTACCGTCGAGATACACAGAAGTGAAAAAGTGAAAAAGCTCACATTTTCCTGTCAGAGCTTAAAGGTATAAACCAGTTTTGGAAACGCCCCCCCCCCCCCTCAAAAATGAAATGGAAGCTCTTGTTACCAATCATGTGAAAGAATATGTTTTGACTTATACGTGATGATACAAATTTTGCCGGGAAACCGCCTACTTATTGTTATATTTGGTAAATTATCATATCGATCCGGCCTGGGTAGATACCTCGAATGCACTTCAACATTGAATATTTCTGCTTTTTGCGAAGTTAGGTTGAAGTATTGACATCTAAACCTCTGAAGGCAATTTTTTAAACGATATTGAATGGATATTTTGCGCCCTAGACCCTTGAACCGCAATTTTACCACTACCGGTCTATATCTTTAAGACGGAATGGATAAATTTAGAACACCCATTTTGCGTGCAAACGTGCGGAGAGAGTAAGGGGGAAAGAAAAGTAAAAACGAATGATTTTTCCCCAAGGTAAGGGGAGGAAGGGGGAAGTGGGGGTCATTATTTGTGCTAGTTTACTAACGTTTGTTTGAGATGATGAACTCACATCCACGTTTAGCATGTCAGGGTTAAATCTCTGATTCATCACATGCAGCTCAGTCTGTACAGCTTGATATCCGAGTCCTTCCCGTACGGAATTCTGAATCTCTTGTGCCCCCCCCCCCCACTCCGGGACGGAGGGACCGCATTCATGTTCCCAAACTAGGGGTACTTTTCACGCCGGGCTTGTGCGTTTTCATCTTTAGAAGACATTATAATACAGTATATTGGTTTCAAACGGGATAAATTATTATGTCAGAACGATCGAATGACCTTGGTAGTAAGAGGGGATTTTGGAAAAGACATTTGCTAGGTGGTGTTTGTATATCGCGAGTGTTAACACCATCAAGAACCCCCATTTTTAAAGCTATGGACACGTTCTATATATAAAAAAAAATCGGTGTTACAGTCTCGTACAAGAATGTTCGCCCTATAAAATAGTTTTAGCACTATAAGACAGCATAATAATTGAAAAACAATGAAAATAAAACCTACTTGTCCCATTTAAACAAGGAATTATTCCATTCTGGACTATTTCTTCGTTTATGGACTGTAAAAAATATAGAAAATGCTACTTAATCCTTGTTTTATGAGCCCTTTATATTATCACTTCTAATTCTAATCTGTTTTATCAGGGCACCTCCCTGGTTTTATTTTCTTCCTTTCCTATAAATTATAGGAAAGGAAGAAAATAAAACAGATTAGAATTAGAAGTGATAATATTACGTGTATGGAAATATATAACTGATCACGGAGTGTATACATATAATAGATCAAGACTGATTCATTTCTTGTCGTAGCATTGTATTCCACAATGAAGATGCCCTTTTAACACCGAATTGTATCAACAATTGGGTATTTTCAGCTCTGATTCTGAAAACTATTCCGAATGCGTTTCCATACTTGATGAGGGACATGTCACCCACTGCTTTTCGTTTTTTTTTTTTAAACTTTATCTGTTCAGACAATGCTCTATTGTGAATCATTTTCACTCAATGTCATTCATTATTAACCAACGACCTTTCTGCTGGGGGTTCTTGGGATGTAATAAATGGTTGCCAGCTCTTTTTTCTTCTTCTCCCTCTTTCTCTCTCCCCTCTCCCAGTCCCTTTTCCCTTTTCCTTTCTTGTCCTCTTTCTCCCCTCTCTCCCCCTCTTTCTCTCAGTCATTATATCCCTATACTGTATAGTGCTCTCTATGGTATCTCTTAACTGCTTTCGTACCATTTCTCTTGATACCCCCCCCCCCCCTCTCCATAATCTCGATATTGTTGTCCCGATCCCTATATTTTACCTGTTTATTTACATATAAATTTCTATTCTTTCATCCGATATTTTATTTTAAAAACATTGTCTGCACAATGTGCTAAATGACGTCATAGTGATGACGGAACAGGCGGTCAACAGTAAATTAATTCCATCGAAAATTTAATGTTAAAATAAAGTGGAGTAAATCTACACCATTATTATAGATAAATCGTTTATCGCTTATTGATACGCATAATGTCTGGACACTTTCCAAATGCGTTGTATAGGATAATTTGTAAAAAAATACAAATGTTTGAAAATCATGTAACCATGGTAACACGATGATATAGCATTGTTTGGTTTATTTACTAAGCTATGGATAAACTACGTCGCGGATATAACATATTCCAATTTTGGACAGTGACCAAAGCAATGAGTTATTGATTTTCAATGGAAGCAGATTTTAAATATACACCAATAATCCCAATTGGAGTGAAGATGATATTTGCCATTATTGTTTATTGTTTTTATCATTATTATCATTATTAGTAATTAGTTTTATTAGTAGTAGTAGTAGCAGTATTAACTTTATTTTTATCATTACTACTATTATTATTACCATTTTTTCATTATTATTATTATTATCTTTATCATCATTATCGTCGTCAACATCATTATCATCATTATTGAGAGTGTAATCCTCATGACTTTTCTACGGCGTCCTTTCAAATAAAAGTGAATTGTCCTCATATATTTTGATTTAGAATTTATTAATTGCATATTCTATATGCATCAGGTAATTACTGCCAATTAGAAAGACAATGATAGTTCGATGTGTATTATTATTCATAGACTTGGGTTAATCATCAATTCTCTTGTCAGCTTTATTTCTTCTGAGTTTTATTGTTTACTTTTCTGAATTGTTTTGAACCAAGGTTGCCATATTCCATGGCCGCATGATATTTATTTAAGAACAATATTTATTGATGAGTTGGCTAGACTGCGAAAGTGAATACGGCTATTTTTTCTTTGTTCTGAAAATGAAAGAATGCTTGGCTGAAGCAGATTTTGTCAAAACATGAAAGACTGTTATGTGTGTTTTTCCAAGGTATCATAAGAGTAGATTTCTATATTTCACTCAGAGAGCGTAAAGCGTCGGATCGATGATTAGTTCAACCATAGTGGCCCCTTTTCTGAAAACTTGGTTAGTTCTAAACATGAATTTAAGAATTTGGTTTCTAAGAGGAGGACCAAATCTCAAAAAGAAAAAAATTACCTCAATACAAGTTCTCAGTATAGTATAGCAAAATGAAACGAGTTGAAATTTCTATCTAGCATGGGGGTAGGGCTTTGAAGCAAATCATTTGCAAATGAAATAGACAGGAAAATATCTTAGGGAATAAAAGCCGAGTTGAATATTATTAGGTCTTTCTTTAAAAAAAAGAACATACACAAATCTAATCGATCATTTCTTATTACAAAACATGATTTCATATCAAAGACATCCAAATATAAAACGGCCTCCTTCATGAATGTATTTATAGTTTTCGTGACATTTTTCTTTCTTCTTCGCCCACGTCTCAAGCTATATTAAGGGGCAATCAAGGCCCTGTGAAGGGGCTGCAATTAAGCACATTACACAAGGGGGCAATATTTTGTTGTGTACTACCCCCTCCCCCCTCCCCACACCACCCATCCACCACTACTACAAAACTCCCCTCGTACTATTTCTTCGTCTATTTTCTGATACGTACTTTAGCACTTTAATCTTTCCCTTTTCATACCCCACTTCGCCCCTAAGTCTTTAGCCATTACATCATCACGGCTACTTATTATAAGGTCCTAAACCT